GGATTTCCAGTAGGAGCCGATTTCCGGTAGAGGGATGCATACTTCCTAGTGATTGAATCCTTGTCTCTTCCAGTCCCCCAGYTCTCTTCATGGGTATCAACAACTTGTCTCCATAGTTCTGGTCCAATAGGAATGATCCTCCTCATGAGTCTCAGCAAGCTCATTGTCTCCCTTCTGGTGTAGTTTGTGGACCCCTTGGATCTTCCACCTCTTTCTTGGTGAGCAGTCGGCCTTGCAGTGGTCCTCGACGTTGCAGCAGCTGTGGAGGACCTTGCAGCTGTTGCTGTTGCTGGAGCCAACCTTGCAGCTGTTGCTGCTGCTGTTCTTGCTGGTGGGGGAGCCGACGTTGCAGCTGCTCCTGGAGCTGCTGGAGCTGGAGCTGGAGCCATGATCCTTGTGTACTTTTTATGAGGAGCCGGCAAAGAGGAGGGTACCGGTATGTGAATCACACATGGGATTTCTTCGATGTCTTCCCTCTCAAGACAGCGCCGGCTCTCTTCCCTCCTCCACAACAGWAGAATCTGTATGGGGCTCCATGCGCCAGCCATCACCATCAGCATTGTTTTTCTTTGTTGTTCCTTCTCTTTGTTATTCCTTCTCTTTGTTCCTTCTCTTGTTTGCTGCTGTCGTTGGTGCATGATGTGTTCTGTTCCAGGAGAAGGAGGAGGAAAGAAGATCACCATGTGCTTTTTTCTTGACACTTGAATCGAAAGAAGTTTGGCGCCTGTTTAGGGCGCGCCTGCTCCCGAGACTGGAAATGGTTAAGTCAAGGATTCCAAACAAAAAATATGTCACATACACAGATTCTCGTTGTCGTGGGCCCACGACAACCAAAATCTGTGTACTTTACATATTTTTTCGAGCCGGCCGGTCTCATTTTTACACAGATATATGTTTGCGGGAATCACCCACTGTTTACAGTACTGGACGAGTACTTTGTTGCCCACGTACTTCGTACTGGGCCCTCCGGTACCCACGCGCACATCCCCCTTTTCGAATTCCTCCCCTAGAAGAACGTGGGTTTTTTTTGGTGAAAAATAACCCACGTTTCTAAAACGTGGGTTTTTTAATTTGAAAAATAACCCACGAAAGAACCCAGGAACCCACAAATAACCCACGAAATAACCCACGAATAACCCACGAATTTACAGTCATCTGGGTTGATGGAGAACCAAGGGTGTTAAGTATTTTAGTCATTAACGTTATTTAATCACTGTTTTTAATATTTGGAGAAAGGCCCAGCAGGTTTGTGGGTTTTTCGTGGGTTATTTCGTTGGTTATTCGTGGGTTATTTGTGGGTTAACCCAACCCAGGTTTTAAAACGTGGGTTATTGTTTGGGAAAAAAACCCACGTTTTAGAAACGTGGGTTATTTTTTGTGAAAAAAAAACCACGAAATCATACCCCCGATATTAGATTTCAAAGGGGGGACGCGCGCGCGTTGGTTCCGGAGGGCCCTGTAATACAGTAGCGTATTTTCACGTACGGTCATCACGTTCGACCAGTTCTGTTTGATTTTAAAAACCGAAACGGATGACCAACAAAGGATCATGAAGCTAAGCCCATCGCTTCACTGTTTTAGTCGAATGAGTCAAATATATTGTGAGTATTCGTAGGAATCTTGTGACGTGGAACTTGGGGTGGTAGTGTCATAAGTCATGGGTTTGCAACGAAGCTCAACAGAATGAATGTGATTCGGCTTGGTACAACTCGTACCGGCAGCAATCAACGACAGCAACATATTTTTTCAGATGCATCATCCAACGAATCATCACCAACATACCGTACGCAATTCCGTAGGGTCGTACACGACCACCGCTGAACGCACAACAATCTTTCTTTTCGGAATTCGTTCGGAAACCAACACCGAATGACACCCTGGTGTCGTCACAATTCATTCACTCTATCCTCTAAACGTTACCGATAGAAAAATCAGGCCGTTCCCACCATACGCTGTTGGGAGCCATAAGAGTAATCTGATATGGCTCCGCAAAATGCCCCCCGCCTGCATTCGATGAGGAACAGCAGGAGGGCATGGTGCTGCCTGGTGATCTGGTCCGTTGGAATTTTGGTCTCCATTGACGTCTCTACCGCTACCTGGAGCCCCCATCGACCTCCGTTGGAAGCACACCATCGCCTGCACCAGTTCCGTGATCGATCACACGCGCTTGGAGTTGTAGGGAAATATACCGATGCACTCCGAGGAGGCAGCATGGCGACGAAATCGCAGCCGCCACAGGAACCGCCACTCCCGCAACAGGACTACCAAGAAGAGGAACAGGAACTCCTGCCGCAAGAGTACCAGCACCAACAGACTCCTCCGCCACCGCCACAACCCCACGAGGAGAAGCCCTTTGTTCCAACCATCAGCCTGAAATACGCCGCTAAGGCTCTGTTACACACGAGCGAATGGAACCGGCGGCTGCTCCAGGGTGTGAAACACTGGGGACGACACCGACAACATATTTTGTCTTACCCGAGTCACCATTACATCGAGCACCAGAACCACCACCCGGAGCACGACGCACAGCAATCAAAGTATGTTTACGGAAACATTCCAGTCAACGTGCATCCGTCCCGAACATGGAATCCTCCCATACAAGCGTCCTCGGGTCGATTCCTCGAGGAAGAAGAACTGTCTCTCTTTCACGCGAAGACGTCTCGGTCCGAAACCGCTTCGCAGTCGGATTCCAGACCAAACGAAATCAACGACGAGACGGAGGGGGCCAGTCACTGGGGCCCCGAACTCCTGCCATACCTAGAGCACATTAGTGAGATGCTGGACATCGAAGCCGACGGCGTGGAGGTCTGTCTGGCGATGATCTACCTGGACCGCGCCTGCTCGGTGGAAACCCTTCGGAGCAACGGCGTTCCGCCCTGCCCTTTTTGTGCGCCGCGAACGGTACACCGATTGGGCCTTGCCGCGCTGCTTGTGGCCGTTCAGGCCGTCCGGGGGGATCCCCACGAGATGCAGCACCCGTCGGAACAACAACCGAACCCGCGTTTCCGTAGGTTGTCCCAGTCGTTGGGCATACCCGACCATCAGCTCGAGGAGATGGTGCACTGGATGCAGGCCGCACTGGGCGACGAGGGCATGTACGTGACGTTCGACGAAATGAAGCGATGGAGCCAATCGTGGGAGTCCATTTTTTCGTCGTGAGTCGAAACGGCGAACCGAACCGAGTGGAACTAGGGGATCAGTACTTGGCAGACGCTACAAACTAAAATTATTTAGATACAAAACTGCGAAGTGTAAACTACTGTTAACTAGCTTGTTGAAAACAAAAACGTACCAGATACCACGTGTAGAAATAGGCTGGGTAGTGTAGTTCCAAAGTTTTTCATGTTTCAACAAGTTGACAAGTCGAGGGAGACACGGTACATGAGAAATCAAAGAGAGTGTGCGATCGTTCTGGTTGCAGGTGAGGAAATATCAAGAGAGTGAGGTGTAAATTCGAATTAAAATTTGGCAGGTGTTGTTTTCTTATGATGAATGAGATAAAACAAAGCAATATCGATTGCGGTGATGATAAAGTGGATAGTTGATTCTGTACGCGATGTAACTTTTTGTTAGACTAGTCAAAGAAATTTCGGGTGATAATATCTACTTGTAGTCTACAGCAGAGTGCTTGCTCGTGTTCCTCGGCCAGAAGAACCATACCAGCACTGTGCCTAGCGTCGCAGCACTGTAAAGCGCACGATAAAACAGTAATGCGTTTGAACACGGCATTCTTGTCGGTGGCTTTCTGCTCTGGAGTTATCGTGACAGCACTTTTGGTTATGTATCATCTTAGTGGATATTGTTTTCGATTCGTATAATCGAAAATAGTGTCTAGCTAGGAGCTATTGTACTGGAGGGTATGATATGCACTTCGCGAAAAAGAAAAGTTGCAAGAAGTATGTTTTCAGGTTGCGACGAGAACTCCGGATGACGTTGTTGTGTTGAATTGATCGATGAATTTGTCGTGCTCGACCTCGTCGACCGCAGCAGTGGAAACATCGCTTTGGTCGACGGCGACAACAAATTCTCTGCTCCCAATGTTGAGACCCGAAACCTCTTCCTCTTCATCGTCGACTTCTTCAAAAACACTACTTCTTTGTGCAGCGGAGCTAAGAATAGCATTCCAGACCAAATCTACCGAGTTGACCCATAATATTCGGTGCTGGGCAGGAATCACGCTGTAAGTAATGCAATGAACTATGGGCCAGAATTTCCAACTGAAATCATGATGTTTTAGATCACCACAGATTGACAATAAGCATTAAAGTGGTGAGTGGAGCAATAGTAAGGATCATTCTCAAAGCCACTATGCCTCATTCTCCTGGGAAGGAATGGGATAAAACAACTTACGCAGTTATCACGATGCCACCAATTTTGTCCTTGACCGACTGTGTGACGGACGACAAGTCCTCCCCAGCCAGTAAGCCAACAGCGCTAATATATACACTGCACTTTACCGTCAAGTAGATTGTTTGATCCATAAGAATCTTTTGCAATCTTGTGATCAATCCATTTTCGGGTGGGAGAATTGCATCGCTAAATTCGTAGTATTGATGCACCAGTGGTCCAAAGCAAAGACCAATAAAACCATTCCTCAGCGTTCTACTGATATCGAATTCCAGCAGGTTTTCTCCGCGGAATGCGGTCTGGCTCAGCCAATCCCCGAGTAAATATATAATCACGTTGATCAGGGTTTTTGTAACGATCGGTTTCGAGTCCAGGTACGATTCGTATGCACCCCAGTTGTCGAGAGGGATTCTCATGGCTATTTCTGATGCTGACCAGCCCCTTGTCATACCTTTGTCAATGTTGAGAATGGTATACAGAGCATACCCAAAGGTTGCAGAAAGAAATAGGAAGTTGATAACTTTTTGCTCGGCACTGTATTCTGACTCTTTGGGAGTAGGATCTTGACGAGAAAGTAGGGTCTCCTCTAGGTCAGTTTTTTCTTCCACGGCCGTCAGTTCGCTATCATTCACAGTAACAAAGTGCTGTGGAAATTGTTGACGCCTCGCAGCTTCCAATATTGGTTCAAATGGTGCTTGACCGGTTATTACCAATCCTTGTTTCGTAATTGATCCTACGACGGCATTTGATACAAAAGCATCTGTTCTGCTCAGACTGCAGTAGAAATTCACGAAGACACCCAGCAAAGCTATCTTCTTCAACGGTCTCATGGTAATTCGTTGCAGAATTATGTGGCGGTGAAGAACGTTTTCCAGTAAACGATGGGCTTCAGTGGAAAGAAATCTCGCGCTAGGGTTGTTTCAACAAAACGAAAGGTTTTTCTTTTTTTGTGGACGATTCATCGAAAGTACTTCGTAGTAGCAGACTCTAAAACCTCGAAGTGCCAGTACCGGGTACGAGTAATCGGACTTCCAGCGTAATTTCATTTCATTGGATTTCATATGGCTAGTGTTCACATCGCATTGTTTGGCCCTATGAGTATTATTTGTACACAATCCTACAGCGATTTCATTTGTTTTTGTGATTAATGATGTCTTTGTTTTTCAAGCCATGCGGGCTATTTTTTTAATATTATAATCAATTTTGTCGAACACGAGGAGGAGAGGAGGACGCAAATCCACTAATGTAATTTGTAGTGTAGTTTACTCATCTCGTACGGTAAAATCGATTTTTCAGAATACAATAAAATGGCGAGCGCGGCTTGACACGATGGTTTTGGACAGGATGCATACCGTACGGTACAAGGGTTGAACGAAAGCCGAATCCTTCCATCGGTGGAGACGGAGGAATTGATGTCCGTGGGGCAGACAACGCTCACTAAACCAGATGTTTTCAACACTGACGTTCGTGTCCTTCAATTTTGACCACGCGCACGAAATGGCCTGATTTTAGACGATACCATTGGAAGTGGTATGACGAAGAACATCCAAGAACAGTGAGGGAATTTAGTCCATCTGGTCGAATGTGATTAAAGCTGCGAGATCTAACTTCTGCTGTATGGTACGTACGTACGTACGTACGTAAGAACACTAAGATAGTAAGAAACAGGCACATGACAAGGAAAATCTCAAAACCACATCTGAGAAAAGTGTCGTTTGAAATCTGTGGTGACACAGCGTATTATGTTGTAACCCGTTCAACTCTGTTGGCGCCGACTTTTCCATTCATTTATATCTGATCTAACAAGTAATGAAGCTGTTCCATGAACCTCTGTACGTCTCCGGAGTCAACCTCAACAACGTTGCTATCGAATCTGTCAAACCGAAAGGTTCCGTTCATAGATTTTGCCGTCTCTTCAAAGTTCTTCCCGAACGTGTTCTTCACGAAATCTCCCGCCCGTTCGGGATATTCGTATCCAACAATGAGGCAGGTGCTGCTTCGCGGCTTGTCGGCGATCAATACGAGAGGGCGGGCCTTGGTGCCGGTCCATTTTCCGTTTTCGCGGTTCATGTCCATTAAGAAATGTGCAAGGCGGGTCAAGGCGAGCGGCTTGGAAAATACGTGGTCCCTCTTGTCGTCGCTTCCTACATTGTTATTGCTTCCGGATGACCGGATCAAGTCCCGGCGGTTGAGCTGATGGGTTTCTCCCCCCATCGTGGACGATGCAACGTGGGCGTAACGGAAGTGGCGGAGGAGGGTGATGGCACCCCTCTCGGATAGACCCACCGCCGTATTGATGATGTTTTTTTGCAGCGCCATGGCACGGCGCAGGCCCGCTCCGATCCCGACGTTGCTTGAAAGGTTTCCCCCGTTAACAAGGTTGGAAGAATCGTAGCCCTCCGCGCTGATCCCGCTCTTTTCGAGCGAATGGGACCCGAGGGCGTCGTATGCGTTGTTGAAGGCTTCGACCTGGTCCTTCTCCTCGTGTTCGGAACCAGATTCGATGGTTGGACCGGGAGCAGTGCATTCAAGGAGCGCCGTGATGGCGTAAGAAGTGTCGCTTGCCGATAGCAGCGAGGAGTAACCCGTGACACGGGTGAAACTGGTAAATTCGAAACGATCCAGATTGTATTCCTGCGAAACAATGGGGACAACAAAAATGAGAACAATACAAGATGAGTCAGCGAATGACGAATCGAATAAAATGCATATCCCTGGGTGAAATACAAGCGAGCGAACAAACGAAGAACCGAATTGCTTACCGCTGCATGGATACCCAGTTTCTCCTTCAGACGGCGGCGCAAGCTCGGCCGCATAAACGGAAACGGCTGTCGACATTCGTCCAGAGGATATCCCATTTTTGCCAGCATCTCCATAAGCTGCTGCTCCCCCTTTTTCGTATAGACTTGCATCCGGGTGCAGATGTAATCCGAGTATTGCATGCTGTCCAGCAAGCTGGAATGCCGCAGCATAAAGAAACGAAAGTCTTTCTCGGAAAAGATCCGCCCGTTCTCGCTGAGGGCAATTTTCGTCTTGCTGTCGCCGTTCCGGCTGCCGCTTCCCACCAGATCCTCGGCGTAGACCGTGTTCAGGGCCCGGTCAAAGACATTGTTTGGGTACAGCTTGCCGCAAAGGTCGCTCAGCTCCCTCGCTAGCTTGGCGTACCCGATGAGGTCCAAGCGGGCATGCAGGTACGCGTCCGTGACCCCCACGCAGGCGAGCCAGAGCAGGTCCCCCTGCTCCCCGTAGCGATGCTGCGCTGCCAGGCGGTACGCCACGAACGAGGCGGGGGATCCATAAAAGCTCCCGTCGGAATAGTACTTGCGCAGACGGTTGCGGCGCTGGCCGTGGAGTTCCCGAGGGGACACCGTGGCCGGGGATGGCTGCCGCGCCTGCGAGGCTTCGGGGCCGTGTGTGGCGGTTTCGGCCTCCCCGGGATCGAGAAAGGTCTTTTGGCGCTTAGGTTTGCGGTTGGAATGATCGTTGTCATCGTCATCGTCATCGTCATCATCACTGTCGTCGTCATCGTTGTTGTTCCCTTCGTTCTCGTCTTCCGCGTCGTAGCTTGCGTCCCCTTTGCCATCCATTCTTCGTTGTTCGTGTTCTTCCCGCTCGGCTTCTTCGATAGGCTTTGCGGCTTCCCCTACGATGTCGTCAAAGAGGGCCTCCTCCTCGTCGTCTCCGTCGCTGTTTTCGGCGTCTTTGCTGATGTCGTCGTCGCTGTCGCTATCGCTGTCGTCGCTCGAGGAGGACGACGAGTCTGACGAGGATTCCTCCCCGCTGAGGTTGTCACCGTCACTCGGCATGTCCTCGGTCTTCTGGGTCGAATCTAGAAAGATGACAACGTTCGAGGGCGAGTAGACATTGGCCAGGTGTATGGGACGGCGACAATCCATCACGTAAGTCTTGACGGCGCCCTCCTCCAAAAGATTGTCTCCCTCGTACAGGCGGGTCAGGTTGCGTGCCGCCCCGAAATTGAAGAGGACGATCGAGCTAACGTCGTCCATCCCCCCCGCCTCAACCATTCCCGAGAGTCGGTTTTCCAGGTCGCTGTAGCACGTACAGGGGAGCAGCTGGTAGTGGATCCCGTCCGATCTCAGCATGTAGGACAGGATGCGGGCCGACGACATCGCGTCCACGTCGGGGTTGCATAGCAGCAGGACCGATCGAGATCCCTCGCGGTCCCCATCGGGGCGGCAGTCCTTTAGGATCTGGTCGTAGCCGAAGTACCACTGCTCGTGCTCTAGAATCATTCTTGCTCGCTACGGTATGTGACACTCGGTTCGTGCGGTCGAAAACGTGAATTCTTTTTACGGCGCTTTTCTATTTATGTTTTCTTTTTGCTGTACCACGCTGAAACCTTCGGTGCCTTCTCGATCTTTGAACTAAGGTATAGGAAGACCTTGGGATGCAGCAAAGAAGTGTGGAAATAGTGTCCCGATGCTGAGGAATTCAAATCGACTGCGGGTATGATTATCGTACCGTACCCGTTGTTACCGTACGTAAGCCTGCCTTGTACGAGTACCGTACTTTCGTTAAACTTTCCAACGAAATGCGACAGAAAAATGCGCGAGGAACCGAATGTTGGAGTACCGTACAGTAGGGTACGAGTACTCCGTACTGTACTTATCAATATGATGATGTTGAATTTCCTGCAAAGCAGTACAGTAAGTACTGTACAGCTCGTACGCCCAATACGCAATGGTGGTTCCAATGTATGCATTGCCGGAAGCGTCGGAAACACAAGCACGCGTCTCAGGATAGCCGTACCGTAGCCTACATCTGCATACAGGAAAGGATTCGCGCCAAAAAAAAGTAGGATGGATGATTGAGCGATCCGTACGAAGGACGATCAATGATCGAGATAGGTCGGTCGAGTCAAACAGCAAAATTCCTTAGATTCCTATCATAGGTACAAAACGTATCCTTCCGTCCAAGTGTAGGGAGTAGAGACAATCGCCATTTTTCTACAGAGGCATCATACTCGCTTAGTAAAACGACTCGCTCGCGCACTGAGCGATTGGCGATATTAATATCTGAATATATCTATAAAAGGCAAATGCCCTCTGGGCGATCAAAAACCGATCATAACAACTCACACTATGTCTTATGAAAAAGGAGTACATCCGAGACAGTTATTTCATCAGTACTTTGTCGCCGCATGCTCCGATCATTGTTCAGAGGCTCCCGCAAAACTGCCGCACACCGAATTATACCCGTAGCACCATTTACTAGCTACAACCTCCTGCTGTTGAACAATCCACAAGAGCAACCAGCTGCAGAAACCACCACAGCAATTGCAACAAGCATAGCTTAGTTGCCACAGTTGTGTCCAGTTCGTTCCAGCAGAGCCGCAGTAGATTTCAAGTCATCCGACGTCATTTATTGGACATATCGATCCCGATTAGAATTGTTTCGTTACCGATTCCAGAGAAACGGAAAAGACCTGTTAAGTTTCTTTCCTTCTCGCCATCGCTAAAACCCCCGACAAACACAAGAAACAGACGCATATCACGGCTGTTTGCGCAACAGAAAAACTTCGGTTTCTCGAAACTCCAAGTTCGCCAACCACGCACTGACAGTAGCTGACAAAAGCACGCGAAGACTTCCAAAGCCACGCCCTTTTCATTCCTAGCTTCTGCATCTTTTCTCATAAACTTCGTTTCATGCGAGAGAAAAAAAGAAAGCAGAAAAATACAGCGATCCATTGACTCTTGCAATACCTATTTCATTTTGTTAACGATACGAAGACAGCAAGGCTAAGCATATGGTAGGATACCGAAATAAGACAGCAAAATCCAGCATCGCAATGGATATTGACAATCAGAATCAGCGATCCAAATACGGAAGTGCCTCTCACCAGCAGCACTATCAGCACTCCGCACCAGGATCCTCCTCTTCCTCGAAACCGGCTTATGACAGCAGAGGAAGTCGATCAAACCGGGGAACACGAGATGACATGGTTGAAAACGAAGGACCTCGCGGCGGCCGCTCGTCACAGGGTTATTCACGGTCTTCCCGACAGGGAGGTAGCAGCAGATCCTCGCGATACAATGTTCAACAGCACCAAGAACAATCATCGGGTGGAGGATCGAGTTATCCGCATTCCTCTTCCTCTCAATACAACCATCACCAATCTTCTAGGCAAGGACCAACGAATGCTCCTCCGTCTTCAATGATCACCCCGTCAGCGAACCAGCACTTCACGCCTCCAGGAAACAATCCCTACGGAGGACAGCAGCACCGCAACAGCCATCACCATGTGGCTCCGCACACGCCCGATCAGTCCGTCCAACCGACATTTCCGCCGCCGGCGGTCACCTCGGAGTCACCGCCCCCGGCGGAACAGACCCAGCGCCGTCCCGCGTACCTTCTTCATCGCGACCTGGTGATTGGAAAAGGATCCTACGGCCAGGTTTGCATCGCTTCACGCGGAGAAGCCGAGGGCCACATGTCGGGAAGCGGACGGTCTGGAAAACGAAAAAAGTTTGCCTGCAAGTGTGTCATGCTGCGGAACGATCCGAAGTACATTTCCAAGTTACAAGAGGAAGTCAATGTTCTTCGCGAACTTCGTGGCCACGACAACGTGATTCGATTGTACGATGTCTTTTGTGTCGACAATGAGCTCTTCATAATAACGGAGCTCGGAAGAGGAGGTGACTTGTTCCATTTGTTAACAACCCATCCCAAGCACGGAGTCACTGAAGCCTATGCCGGTAAGTCCGTTGTTTGCCAGTCGCTAACTTTGTGATTATTCTTATAATTATCATCCGGGAAGTTCCATGTTCTCACACATTGTGATTCGTTTGTCGGTTTTGTTTTCTTTTGATCCGGTTACAGCCAAGACTGTATCGGAAATGCTTTCGGCGGTAGCTTTCTTGCATTCGAGAAGCATATGCCATCGAGATCTCAAGCTTGAAAACTGGGTTTTGGAATCCGGAAAAGACGTCTGGAGCCCGTTGAAACTCATCGATTTTGGTCTGTCAACACACTACAGACAGGGCGAACGACTCACGCGAGTGGTTGGTTCATCGTACTATGTTGCTCCAGAAGTATTGAAGAAGTCTTACACGGAAGCCTGCGATTTGTGGAGTTTGGGAGTCATTGTTTATATGCTTCTCAGTGGAGCTCCTCCATTTTATGGCAAGAACGACGAAGCGATCAAGGCATCGATTGTCCAAGGGGAATACACCTTCCCGCATGAGCTCTTCCGGGACGTTTCGGACGAGGCCATGGCATTTGTGTCGACTTTGCTTTCGTACAATATCGAGTACAGATATACAGCTGCCCAAGCTTTGACTCACCCTTGGTTGTCCGCCAATTGCGACTCAGAGGCATTGTCAAGGGCAAAGGACGGCGCAAGAGGGGTGGGTATTATTATTGATGGTTCCAAACCAGAACCTATGCAACTGTAGGGTAGTACGGTATTATTAGTAAGTTGCATGTATCGTGCAACATATGATGACAGTGTTTATATAAAAACAATGCAACACAGCAATGCATCGCGACGATAACAGCTATTATACTATACTAGAATATAACAACTGCAATTTCAACATAAGAGTAGTTTCAAACCAAACCTCAATTCTTTTGTATCATGTACGTCTAACACTGTCGTAAAACAACTAATATAGTACGAAACCTTCGCAATGCTATTCTGAGTCTTAGTGAGGAGAGGAATTGTTGGCGTCCTCCGTCGCGCTCTGATCAACAGTTTGCAGTGTTCAGAGACGCGCTCCCCAAGAAACCTTGCAACCCCGCCTTCGTCCTGCACAAACAAAACTAGCATTATCCCCCAGCCTGCGTCCACCGTTCAGGGGCGAGCCACAGGATGTGATGGTGACCCGGACATGCATCAAACGCAATGATTACACTAGGGGGAAGGGTGACGAAGTCGCTTCTGTCACTTGTTGCAATACCGCCTTCAGCCGCGCTCGTTCCACAGCAGAGTATTGATGGTTGTGGCCGCAGTGAAGATTCATAAAACATCCCTCCGCCATCGGACCTGTCAAGTGCAAGTGACGACTCTTCCAGCTTGCCTCTATCGTAGCCTTTGCCGAAAGGCGAGCCGTGACGTAGTTTAGGGTACCAACCACATAGCTGACCTCGTGGCTCGCTGAATCGAACAAAACAATGAGTTAGCAAATTGCACAACAGAATTAGGATCTCGCGTCTCATCTCGATATCTTGACATAAAATGTATATGATGTTTTTTTCAAAACTCACCGCTATTAAGAATCTCGTCATTAGGGTTATCTGCAACGATCTTCTGCAGTGCCGCAACGACTTCGGGGATGGGCTTTGGATGAACAACGGTATCCGACTCTTGATGCTCCCAACCAGGTGGACGACAATCAAAATCAGAGCTCTCCACTTGTGTCAGTTCGTTCAAGTCAGCGCATTTGTGCCGTTCTTCCATGCCCTCTACAACTGTCTGGCCTCCAAACACGCACATGGAACACAGCCATGAAACGGTAGTATCAAATCCAGATTTGACGGTGACTCCGAGTGCAGATCCACACAGGCCTTCGCAGCAACCAAGAAACTTCCAAACAAGATAAATCGGCGCCTGGCAACCATCAGCGACACCTTCTTCGGCATTCAGTATTCCAGAAGATACCATAGCGGCGAATCGTTTCTTCTCGATTGAGGCGACTTTCCCGATTCTCTTGGCACACGCCGCGAAATGAAACGCTTCATCTAGAGACATGTGTTTGTCTGCAGGCCATACCGGAGCTGTCATTCTTGTTATTCTAGGTTGTGGCACATATTGAGAACCTGCGACACAAACATTTTCCCAGTCGGCCATCCTGTGATGCAGTGGAGCATCCATCATCCAACCTATCCCATTTGTTGACGAAGCACTCCGTTTAATTTCTTTCCAGAACGATATTCCGGCTTTTAGAGACGACGAATCAGCAATTATGACATCTGCAGCATCATTTGCAACGATCTTGGGACACTTTGCTGAAAGAAAATCGCCGACGACATCGGTTGACCAGAGAGGTGCTAACATCCTTATGGCATATCCCGACCATCCACCAACTAAACGTTGTGCAACTGCTTCTAAATTGCAGAATGTCCTATCGCAAATTAGCAATGATATTCTGTCCTTATGGTGACTGTTTTCACTCAATTTTCGTCCAGTGTGAGAGGCAGCAAGACCTCCGATGCTTTCTCCGTGCTAAGAGTATACGAGGAAAAGGGAAACAGGAAGAATGAAATGAGTCATAGTGAATCCGGTACGCAAAATCTACCAAAAATATTCAACGGCATGACAGAAAGTGATCCACAGCAACTGTGCGTGCAACTCACAATCTAGATTGTTTGATGTAAGAAGAAAAAATGAGGAGACAGCGAAGTGAGCGAAACAGATTTGAAATAAAATTAAAAACCGAGACACGATAGTAATTATCCCTCGCCAAACAAAAGCGAAACTTACAACCAAAGAATCAACATCCATCTGAGAAAGTATAAAGCTACCCACAGCAACACCATCGGCACGCAATGAATCTGGTGTTGGAGTAAAGCTAAACAGCAATCCATAAAATATCCTCTTGATTCTATCCCAAACTCCATGAGTGTAACTTCCGTCTGTGGGTCTGCTGCACATTCCACAGAAAGACCCCCCGTAGCTTCTTCCAAATCCAGCGTAGTTGAATAGATACATGTCAAAACCGGCTTGAGTGTAGAAGTCGGTCCAGCAGTTGTCGTCATTATCTATCTCCGATGTGACATTTCCACCCGCAAGACTCATTCCTGCAGCAATTTCAATCAATCCGGCGTTAGGGTTGCAGTACATCACGGCATTCGCTTTGCGAGAACCAGAAGTACCAGCGATTGGTGTTCCCGTCGGCTTTGCTGGGATGTACAAACAATCAATCATTCCACCACTAGGCCTCTGTACCCACAATTGTCGCGCACCTCGGTAACGAGATAGCACACACCCACGCAAAACATCAAAGCCAAATATGGAAGCATGGGGAGGTGGATCTAGCATAGGAAGAATTGACGATAACCCCGTCCGAATCGTGTCCATAATGGATGCATTAGCCTGCTCTTCCTCGAGTCTCCTACGCACTTCGTCCACAGAAAGATTCCCATCGTCTCCTCCACTCAACGCTGTCGTGCTTCCAGCAGTTGTTGGTGGCTTCAGAGATTCTGCCAGATCACGAAGTTCTGTTGCGGAAGCAACTATATTTCTTGCAATTCGCCTTGCCGACTCAGAGGGATTCCCGATGCCATTCTCCAAAAATGATTTAGCTTCGTCTTCTAAGTGATTGACTTGCCCCAGTACATCATTCAAATGGTTTAGCAAGACTCGACCGTCGGTCATGGCTTCGGCAGTGAGTCCCGACAGGTTTCCAATATCACCCACCAAATAGTTATTTCCATATTTGTTGAGGCCAGAAGCAGAGTTTGGGGAAATATTGTTGTCGTCTTGAAATAATGTATGTAAAACTTCTAAGTATACACCAAGAACCCTATCACGATAAGACTTGGCTCTTTTCCATAGCGACGGGATTTCATAGTACGTATCGTTCGAGGCGATGGTGTTTGCAAGATCGATGAGGCTAGTTGCCGAGACGGTGATAATTCGAACAGAATATTTCGCAAATTCCTTTTCGATCTCGCTCGATATTCGGTACGAGGATCCTGGAAAGGCAATCATTCTAATAATGGCTCGCCCCACTAAAAAGATACTGCACACCACGGTGATGTACACGCCCACTTCCGAGACCACAAACGACAGTAGCCAAAACGGCAACCAGAGAGCAAAGAGCATCAAGTGCCCTCCCAAAAAGAACAAAATCGACATTTTCCCACTCGATACAACAGACTGTAAAACTGTTGGAAGGACGTCCGCCAGAGTACGAATCTTGAGACACCGTGACGTTGTTGCTCTCACCACTGACCCGCTCTGTCCCGATGTAGCCATCATCATCGGTGCCATGTTGCTGATGCTAAAGTTGTTGTCGGTGGATCCTCCTGTCGACGACGCGTTTTCCATTCTACTCGTATTGTTATTTCTTGAATTCAGAGTCTGCAGCAACTGTGCTCCGAACTCGTCAACCTCGGAGAGCTCTGGACCCAATAACGGCGTGGCCAGGGCCTCGGCCTCTTCTTCGTCCGTCAAATTCACCTTGGCTGAATTCAAACGAAGTCACTAACTCAACGGTGTCTAGAAAACTCAACTTCGTCTATGCTGAACGGATAGACACCTCAAAACAGGTAAAGGACGAATAGAATGTATCGAGGTTCCGCAGTTGATCAAATTACTCCTTGAGAGCGACTCGCTTGGTGGCGTTAACTGGCACAGTATTAGTAATGAGGAGCAACAGCGATCGCCCCGGATCTCGCTGAGTACGAAGTATTATGTTCCTATCGCACGGCGTGGTTGTATTGCTCTTCCTCGACTGTCGGTACGATGATTCGGTACCGGTACGGGCATGAAAATCGTTTCAGCTCTTGAAAGACCGGTGTCTCCTCTTGGTTTGAGATGCTGATCCCTGTTTCTAGTACAGTTAGGTGGTACCTGCAACCTCTAGGCTTGAGAGCGCAGATGCAAACTACCGGTACATACGATCGTACCTGTACTCGTTCAGGGGTCATAAAGTAGGAGGGGTGCGCATCGATTCGAAAAATCATATTCCATCCTCGGTCCCAAAATTAAAAAATCAGCTTGAGGAATTTTTATGATTCTAATTTTTACTGCATAATACTAGTAAAACTATCCAACTTTTAAGTAGTCATAACTTTATCAAAAATAGTAATAATATAATTTTTGAAGACACTGTCTACACCAGTTTTTTATGAGGATTCTGAATATACCATTTTGTCAAGTATCAAATGGATCTTTAGTGTACATTTTTAATTGTATTGGAGTACTAGTACTAATGCCACCACCAGCAGTAGT